TTAGCTTTCGATCTTTGCTCCTCGGAGCTTGACCAAACATTGGAAATTAAGGTTTCAAACTGCAAAGAGTCAGACCCAATTTCAAAAATCTTCAATATTCTTCTGCTTGCCACCATGGACGACGGAGTAGGAGCCCGAGCCTTCTTCGAGCCATTGATGGTAGAACTGCGTAGAGGGTAGGGGAGGGGAATAGCGGGGGCTAGGTTAAGAGAGGATGAGGAATCTATGTGGGTTGGAAAGAAAGAAGCGAGAGGCGGTGGGAGAGAATTTGGTGTGCTGGGAATGAAGAAAGAAGAAAATAATAAAAACCCTAAAAATGTGTCTTTAATAATGGGCTAAAGGCTGAAAAGTTTCTTTCAAGTTATATACAACATGAGCTAAATAGGGTAAGAGCTTCAAATCTAGATCATTTTCGGTTGGATTCTTAGGCCAAGTGACAAGGACAGTAATTCTTTCAACTTTTTTTAAGCAAAGTCATTTGTACGAGATCGACATTATATATAGTTATTTTAGAAGGTATTAGTTGAATTAATATCGTTCTTAAGATATTTATTATTGATTTGCCAAATTCTTTATGACTTACTATAATTGCGTGTGTGCTAGCAAGAGGACCGCGACACTCTTTTTTTCTTTAGGTACTGTCTCGATTAATTCGGATTTTCATTGGGAAAATTTCTAAAAGGGTAATGTGTTTCATATAATTGAGAGATTTTTACATTCACAGGTCTAGCTCAGAATTTCTAGTTAAGAGTAAAAATATCCCAAACCATCACACCACACCCATCGGTCGTGAACCACTACACTCACACAAAAACAAAGAAACGACAATGGAATTTATTATTAGGAGACAACCACCTACTCGAGATTTAATGTTTAAAATTGTTTGTCAAATATCATAGTAACACGTTCTAAATAAACCAATTCAATGGCCAACAAGAGAATCCTTGCTCTTTTTGTTTTCTTATTTTGAATTTCGTTAACTTTTTTTGCTTTTTTTTTTCTTTTCATTTTGGGGTCAACACACTTTGCCTCCACCATTAAAATTCTATTATAGTAGATTTATAGTAAAAACAAGAGTGTGTGAAAAGGGGAAAAATCTAACACATTTTAGCTCATCGATCCGCATGATGATCTTTCAAAAAGTTTAGGAAGGTACTGCTCTCCCGTTTTGCTTCATATGATAATCTCTTTTTTGGAAAGTCACAAAATCTTTCTTTGACTGCAACTTCTCAATATATTTTAAATATCTTTACTATTGAAGTTGCAATTTATAATATTTATATAATTTCTAACTATGTATTTTCTATTTTAAAAATTTAAAAATATCAATGTTCGAATTAAGATCGAGAATTAGAAGGTTCAGCCTCAATTTCAAACTCTGATATTATCGAAAGGAAGGAAAAGTATATGAAATCCGCTGCTAAAAACAACAACGTACTGCTAGTGAAGCATAACCATATGTTTTAGGAGTGTAAAATAAAATAATTATAACAGCATGACGTTTTATTATAAGTGATTATTCCCCTGCTAAAGATTGTGATAAAATGAATAGGATTCCTACACTCTTAATAAAAAATCTCTAACTCGAGATCTGAGAATAAAAAGAATCTCATAGTTTTCTTTAATAAGTATTATACGATGCTAATCCGAATTAATCGATCCCCACTTGGATTACCGGAAACTAGGTGGGAAATTGAAAAATGATTATTCCCCAGCAATTTATAATCAATGTCAAACATGAAAACTTGAAACAGTCACCCAAAATTTCTCAATCCAGTTAACCAATTAGGCAAACAAATCTGGAGTGGAGGACCCACTAACATGTGACTCATGTGCATTAAGGTGCAGTGGGCTTTTAGTTCTAAATATTTTAAAATTTTAACTAAATTTCTACATATTCTGATTTATGCATAAGGTCATCTGTACTGGCTTTAAATTGGTTGTCTGCCTCCCTTGTAACAAAGGCCGAAAATAGTCTTCGTGGAAATGTTTCAATATAATGCCCTGTAATTTGGATAGAAGAAAATAAAGATATAAAAATCTCTTCCATATAATAATAAAGATTTATTGAGAAATTCGACATAAAATTTAAAAAGTTGCAATGAGTACAAAATCTATTGATCCCAGACTATTTGGCAAATTGACCTTGGTTTTGTTTGTAACATTACGAGTTTAAATTCTTTCACCAATTAAATTGTTTCTTTTCTTGTTACATGTTAACTTTGTGAAAAAAGAAATAAATATGTATTATAGGATCGAATTTTTCCCCTCAATGATGCTAAATATATGTAATACTATCATTTCTTATTTTCCCAGTCTCAACTTTTATTGGTCAATGGTCAGCCAGCTAAAACTTCGCCGTTCTCCAAGTTTAGTATGCAATAGATTTGTTCAATGTAAACTAACTACTTGTAAGGAAAAACAAATAGCGATTAGGTATAATACCTAAATCCTGCATTGACTAGTGTAGTTTAAACTTAAGGAGTCCTTGAAACATAAGAATTATGGCAACTCAAAGAAGACATATATAAAAGAAATTTGGCATTACCAACCAAATAAAGTCAATCTATCTTGATTGGCCGTAACTGCATGATCAATCTAACAAAACGTTTTATTTGGATCTATGAAATTATGTACGCATAATACATCCCAAAAAGTGAATAACAAAAAGGAAAAAAATACAATATCTTAAATAAACTACAACAATCGATTTGCAATTAACATGGATAAATTAAATTAATCGAGATTCTAAAATAATTGTTTAAACAACTTTAATTTATACAAATTTGTTGAACACAAGATATTTAGAGTGTATTTGGTACACATGAAAATATTTTTCGGAAAATATTTTTTAATTTTTTCATATTTGATTGACTTACATATTTTGGAAAATAATTTCCTCATAAACTCATTTTCCTCTAATTGTAGTAAAATATTTCTCCTATCAAAATTAAGAAGGGAAAATATTTTCCAAAACTCTTTTTCAATCTTCCCCACCCTATTCCCCATCCCCACCATCCCAACCCCACCCATCCTACC